ATTAGAATACTATAATGAAATAAAATGACAGAAAAAATAACTCCAAAAACAGCTTATGAAACAAGTCTTGGTCACTGAATTCTTCTTCCAAATTTAATCCCCTGCATTCACACCACAATTCCATGAATTGATACTATAAAATCAAATGTTTCTGACAGCTTACAAAATAAAAATTTGCAAGAAAACTTGGATTGATACAATTAGTCACTACATATATATCTAGCTGCTTTTAGCATTATATTTTCTTGAGCATGGCTAGAGGCTCGTTTCAACTTATCATTCTTGTGTTCCTTTCCCAGTTTTTGGATTTCAAATTTTTTAAACTTGCATACTGCAAACAAAATCTTCACTCAATTTGCAGGGAGAATGAGAAGAAAGCGCTCATCACGTTCAAAGAAGCCCTTACAGATCCCTCAGGGAGACTTGCTTCTTGGCACGGAAAAGATTGCTGTAGATGGAATGGTGTGAGCTGCAATAACAGAACTGGATACGTAATTGAGATCAAACTCCGGAATCCATATCCAAATAGTTTCAATGGCGATAGACTCGTCTATGAGTTGGGAGGTGAGGTTAGTCCTTCTTTGCTTGATTTGAAATACTTGAATCATTTGGACCTCAGTATGAATAATTTTGGTGGGGCTCGAATTCCAGACTTCCTTGGGTCACTATCCAAGTTGAGATATCTAAATCTCTCTAGTGCATCGTTTGGAGGTCGAATTCCTCCTAACCTGGGGAAACTTTCTGAGTTGGAGTATCTTGATCTCAGTTATTACTATAAGGAGACAGTAGAAAATGGCCTTAAGTGGATATCAGGTCTGTCTTCTTTGAAATATCTAAATTTGGGGGGTATAGACCTTAGTCGAGCAGCGTCTCATTGGCTTCAAACTCTCAATTCCCTTCCAGTTATTTCAGAATTGCATTTATTCCAGTGTCAGCTAGTGAATCTTCCAACTTCTCTTCTGTCTGTTAATTTTACTTCTCTTTCAGTACTTGACCTTTCGAACAATGATTTTAACTCCACAATTCCAGAGTGGTTATTCAATTTAACTAGCCTGAAANNNNGAGTGGTTATTCAATTTAACTAGCCTGAAACGCCTTGATCTCAAATCGAACAATCTTTATGGTGTTTTACCAGATGCATTAGCAAATTTGACTTCCCTCGAGGAATTCGACCTGTCTGAAAATTATGGTATTGAAGGAAAGTTACCAAGAAAGCTAGGAAATCTCTGTAATTTGCAGAAACTTGTACTCGCTAACAACAGAGTTGATGGTGACGTAATGGAGTTCATCGATGGCTTGTCTGAATGTTCGAACAACATGCTGGAGACACTGGATTTGGGATTCAATAAACTGACTGGAAACCTTCCAAATTCACTTGGCAGCCTCAAGAATCTGCTATATCTTC